CACACTCACTGCTCTTTCTGCGTGGAGGCTTTCTTGTCCAGATATCTCAATGGCACTGATACATCATACTCTATTCAACTGCATTTCAGCTAGACGTTCCTCCCATGGCACAGGATGCTGATATACTTCCACGAGGGGTCTCTGGACAGTCTGATCGACGACCCTGAGTTGGGTCTCCCGTTCTGGATCTAGGACAATCAGCTCGAAGAGGTTGCAGGGCAAATTCCTCAAATTTTCCTACCGTACAATCCACCGAATCCTTTCCTTCACGAGGGTAAACTCAGAAAATCCAACCGTCTGCCCCCAAAGGTTCTCCCACTCAACTTCGCTGGCAGGTAAACAATTTTCTACTCTCACCATGCCATTGTCGACCGTCTGTGGGACGTGTGGCAAACCCTTCCTGATAAAATGACAGAAGATGGTACCTGGACCAGAAAGGAGTTCGATGATGAAGACTTTCTGGAGACAGTACTCACATTCTTCGACGAGAACCAAGACATGGATTGTGAAGGTGAAGATGAAAGCCATTCTCAGTAGTGCCAAGCTGGGATACACTTAGCAGGACATGAGCGCAGCCGATAAGCAAAGGATAGACCATAAGCCCAAATCGAGCACACCGAGCTTCAGAACAACGCAGATGTCATACAGTTCCAGCGACTACCCGGAAGTGGTGCTGGATGCAAACAAGACCATCTGCAGCACTCCCGTGTGGTTTAAGCTGCAACGACGACCTCCTAACAGGGATGATCTGAAGGGCACGGAGGTGCAGCACATCGGCGAGTTGAGTGAGGGTGTTCTGATGGAAAAGGTCGAAGTGCCCGAGATGATGTACGTGCTCTTTGATGTGTACGTTGACTTTCCTACAGCCAACATGGAATCAGATGTGGACAAGTCCGACTATGTGAGCAAGTTCACTCATCTTCCCAGTGGAGTCATGAGTATGAAGGGCGTCACCTCACAAGTTCCCGTGGCGGCTGAGGACTTGTACCGCGAGCTGAAATCTCGATTCAGTCCGGGCATTGCGCTCAGAAGGTTAGACAATAAGGACTACAACACTGACATCACGGTGACCGTCGTGCCGAAGATCAGATCTGGTCATGAAGACAAAGCAATTACCTTCGCAAACCTCAAACAGGAGTTGCTGTAAATCCTCGCCTGGGTCACACTTGGTCCTGGAGACAGGCTTCTAATGGTTAGTAATTAGAGCGGTTTGAGACCTAAGTGAGCTTGAGGTCACCTTCTGTGATTCAGAGTGGTACGTGCCTTGCTTCATATATCATTCTCATCTGCTGGATTCTGAAGTCCAAACCAGAACTGATTCAAGTATTTTTCGATAGGTATTGGGAAACGCTGGCCATACATCTTTTCCATGAGCAAAGTTTGATGGATTGCAGTGTCAGAACTGAAGACTGTTGAATTTGAGATTCGGGACTTTTCATGCTCAAAAATCCATGTGTGTGAAATTTTCTAATCAATAAAGCTTTCCACTGTAGCAAATATCAGAGCACTGGGACGTACATGATTCTCACAAATACTAATGGAGTAAAATCTATCTGATTTGTTAAAGTTTTTTTCCGAATACAATTTGGTACACACAAATAGAATGTGATACTAGGTTATCGGAGGGCTTGCACCATCATGTTTTTAGCAATCAGGTTTAAAAAGGTTTTTCTAAAAATCTCGTAATTATTTATTGGCATGAAATCGGGTTTTAAATAAAATCTATCTAAATTTATTCTCTGCTGGCTGCTGCAGTCTTTAATTTAATATCAAACGAGGTGTGTTAATAGAGTGGTTTTGAGTTTATACATTATTGAAATGGAAGCTAATGTCTATTAAAAAAAAATATCAGGCGTTCTTAAAATTATTCGATGTTGATAGTCTGGTTTTGATAGCGCAGATAAATCCGATGATGATAACAAATTTGGAGAAGGATGAACTATTTGTTACGACACTCAGAACACTGTTCTGTATTGATTATGTACTAATAGTCTTATACAATTGATTAAATTTTAATCAATAAAAACCATTGTTGAAATCAGGTTTTTTTAATTAACCCGAGATTATTTTAGATAAAATTCGAGTTTTTTACACCCCTGGGTTATTGTCCATTGTTTCTTCTTAGTTTTGTCAGATAACGTGTTTCGTTCTATAAAGATGAAACGGTCAATCTCATGCTGAACATAGTTTTATTGCCATCGTGAAGTCTGTCCTTCAAATCTCCATGCATATATGTCAGAGAATTCTTTGCATTGAACAAGTTGATAATAATGGCTCTATCCGCATGAATATATTGCCTGCGGCCTTAGTACAACCGATCTTTTACGCCGATACTAATCCCGAGAAAACAGGGAATAAACATCAATATTTGTCACGATCCGCCATATATGACGCTTCTGGTGAGCCATAAAACATTCTTTACATGTACGTTTATCTTCAATGTAATCCATCGGCATTAAGATTTTTTGTAGCTCCCATTTCTTAGATGAAACAGATGTATTTGATGATTATTATAGACGACTGGAACTGTCTTTCGTGAAGGATACCCAGAGTGAGTTGGATAAGGTTCAAATGGCCTAGTGTGTCATGCGCTTGACTTTTCAAATTAATCAAATGAACTGCATGTCATACCAAACAGTGAATCATTTGGAAATGATTGGAGATATCAAGAGTGCTATGTTTGAACTGAAGTCAAAGGTGATGAGAGGCTTAATGCACATGAGACAAAGCAAGCAGGTAGTACCGCTCACTGAATTTGGGAGTATTTTAGGTATGAAAGGTTTGATATGCCGCCGTCCAATGCTGCCTACAAGAATGAGACGACAAACTGTGCTTATAAGTCCAAAATTCGAAAGTGTAGACCCTCCCCGGCAGCGATATAAGAATGTCAACTGAAGCAGGCCTGACATTCATTCCATGAGGCAACTGGCTGAAATTCCTTTTCGAACAATATTGTGTGATTTGTTTGTACACGGGAAAGTGAAGCATGGGAAATAGCATTCAGTGAGTGTTTTGCGAGGGAAAGTCATAGTTGTGGGACGCTGAATGGTTAATTGAAATTTTCATCAAAGTGAACCACTCCTGCAATTTTCCGGGCCGAGCTTATATACGACACCTGATGTCTTATCGCCAGACACTGTATTATTAGCTAGGGAGAGGAACCTGCAGATGGACCAAGAAGTTGCGTAAACTGCAGGTAGAGCGTCATGCTTCGTCACCCGGAATGGTGTTTATTTTAGATGATTGAGAAGCGCCTGGTAAGATTCCAGGCCAGCTGATACCTCATTACAATCACCAGACGCACAGCACCAGGACGAGAGTCTCAAGCAAGTGCATGCATGCAGGCGAATTATGTGATTTCTGTGATTATGTGAATTCTTGTCTGAGGCAGTCGAAGTTGAGGGCCTTGATGTTCCAGCCGTAGCCATGAGGTCTGACTCGTTACTAGTTACCAGTTACTAGCTCTTAGTATTTAGCAATCACCCGTAGGTGTAGATCCAAACTGCTCAAGTATCTAACCAGTACATTAGCTCTGAACATTCGGCTGAAGGCCTTCAGCTACAAAATGCGGTATCTTCGTCAAGCTGTAGCTCCTCTTGCGCGGTGATAGAACTAAGGACACAAACACGCAGAGAAAATGAGTTCCTGATCTGCACTTCCGAAACTAGAAGAATCCCAAGGCAATACGCCTTGAACTACTTTATACCCTAAGAATCCTAACTAACACTACTCTACACTACGCTGCACTACACTGCAGGTCATCTACTATGTCTCCTGCGCGACGGACTACCGCGCGCTAACTCCCTACCCGACCAATCTTCGGCTCTACTGCGCAACCCCCGCCGCCGCATCACCGCAGTCACCTCCGCCTCGAGGTTCGCAATGGCGTCCCGCGACCTTGCCAGGAAGGCATCTAACCTCTTCGCTACCCGCCGTCGACTCCGACTCTGATTTTGAAGGAATGCGACTGCTCTTGAACGCAACACACCACGGCACTGGCGAGAGTCGAGACTAGCAGCAAGAGAGTGGCAGCGCTGATCGTCATCCTGCTCCTGGAGATGCTCGAGTTCGCATTATCTTCGCTCGGGCCGTCCGGTTCCCTCAGGTAAACGGGCTTTCGACCCGAGTCAGTCATCTTCGATGAGTGCTGTGGAGTGCATGGAGTCCATTCTTGAGATTTTCCTCCGTCATCGAATGCCCTGGCACATCTGCTGTCATTCTCGAATTGTAAGCTTGTTATCCATTGATTCTACATATTTAATCTTCTAGAAACGGATGCATTTTCATTTCCTCGCCACCACTTTACCATCTTGAGATTCAAAATCTCAGTATGTACTTTCCAGCAGGTTGGGATCTGTCATTGTCTACAGGGTCTTCCGATTCCACATTATGGAGGCAGTTCACCACCAAATCTCAGGTATCGGTCTCGAATAGCAGTAATATCACAGAATTTCGAGACCGATACCTCAGATTTGGTGGTGAACTGCCTCCATAATGAGAGAGAGAGAGAGAGAGAGATAATTGATATTATTCTAGTGTGCCGTGGGGTTGACACTGATGAGTGGCATGAATGGCATGTCCTTCGACACAATGGATCGTTTGAAAAACGATTGGAGATATCAAGATATCAAGATGCTGTGGTTGAACTGAAGTCAAAGGTGATGAGAGGCCTAATGCACATGAGACAAGGCAAGTAGTCTGTTCGCTTACTAAATTGGGTGATACTGTAGTGATGAAAGGCTTAATCTGCCGCCGTCTAGTGCTTCTAAGAAGAATAAGACAACAGACTATGCTCGAAAGTCCAAGAATCTAAAGAGTGTAGATCGTCCTGGGCAGCGATATAATAATGCAAATGGAAGCAGTGGTTAAACCATTCACGTAGACAAATGATTACTTCATTTCCCATGAGACAACTGACTGAATTGTTCTTCGAACAATCTTCTGTGGTTTGTGCGTACACGGCAAAATGAAGCATGGGAAATAGCATTCAGTCAGTGTATTGCGAGGGAAAGTCCTCGTTGTGATAGACGCTGGCATGTTTTATTGGATGATGCCCGCAAATTTCTGGGCCGAGCATACAGACCTCACCAGATGTCTTAGACACTGGATTATTACCTAGAAAACGGACCTGCAGATGGGCTAAGAAGCTACGTGAACTGCAGGTCGAGCGTTCATGCTTCGGCCCGGAATGGTGTTAGTTTATTGAGAAGCGCCTGGTAACAGTCCAGACCAGCTGATATCTCATCACAATCACCAGACGCACAGCACAAGGACAAGAGTCTCAAGCAAGTGCATGCGTGCAAGCGAGTTCTGTGATTTGCGAGATCATGTGAATTCTTGTCTGAGGCAATCGAATTTGAGGGCCTTGATGTTCCAGCCGTAGCCATGAGGTCTGAACCTGGGCACGACAGTCACGGTGATGTCGGTGTTCCAGTCTGTGACGCCCAGCCTCTTCAAAGCCAAGGAAGTGCTGAAGCGAATGTTGAGGGTGCGGTACATGTCGTCGTCCTCGACGTGCACCATCTTCTGGCCCAGATCCGTCACGGTCGTCACTCCGCTGGGGAGGTGAGTGAAGGTGCCGACATAGGCTGACTCGTCCTCGTCAGTCTCGGCCGTAGCCGTGGGGGAGTCGAGGAAAACGTCGAAGCGCACATACATGAGCTCGGGCACGCGGACATGCTCAAACACCACGCCTTCGCTCAGCTGATTCACGTTCTGGGCCTGCGTGCCTCGGAGATCAGCCGCCGTGGGAGCCCGGCGTGTGAGCTTGAAGCTCGTGGGATGCCTTCCGATGGCATTGCTGGTGCTGAACCTCACGTCGCTGCGTTTGTAGCTGGGCTTGGTCCCGTTGGGCTTGTGGTTGATCCACAGGCTGTCTGCTTCGACCATGGGCTGGTACGTGTAGCCCAGCTTGTTGCTCTCAAGCGTATCCTTCACCTTCACGATCACCATGTCTGCGTTCTCGTCGTAGAATGTGAACTCCGTCTCTAGGAAGTCGTAATCGTCGTAGTCCTTGCGGACCCTGTGCCCGTCGGGAGTGATCTTGTCCGGAAGAGCTTTCCAGACATTCCACAGACGGTCGACGTTGGCGTGGTGAGAGTAGAAGATCGGGTCGCGCCCGGCGTACGTGAACACGCCCATGTCCTCGTTGTCGGGATAGGCGGTGTTGTTGAGCATGCCCACCCATTCGTGAGCAGTGTTGTGCAGCGATTCTGAGCCGCCGGACTCACCGACGGTGACATTGACAGCCTCCGTGAAGTTGGAGTTGGTGTCGTATGGACCTCCCAGGTACTCTCTGGCGCTCACCTTGTTGTAAACCATCTCGTAAACCTGGCCCAGGTTGGCGTGCCTGATCTGGGCGTGAGTCCAATTTGCCCGCTCCTTCTCGAGTGATGCATCGAAGGTGAGCGGAAGAATCTTCGGGGGCATGTGGTTGGGGTTGCGGCGCTTGCCCTCGTACAGGAACGTGTTCCTGATCTTTCCATGCCGTCCGTGCTGTCGAGGCCATCTATTCGACTGCTGGTAAGGCAGGAAAATTTGAGGAATTTGGCCCGCAGTGGCGTCCAGCTGGTTGTCCCAGTTCCAGAACGGGAGAGTGAAGTCGGGGTCGTCGATGAGACTGCCCAGAATCTTCTCGTGGAAGTAGATCAGCATCCTGTGCCATGGCAGGAAGGTCCAGCTGTAGTGCAGTTGCAGGGGATATCCGGTGGTCGAGCTATTCAGCCTTCTCTGAAGGTAAGCCTCTTTGCAGAAGGAGCAGTGAGTGTGCCATTGTCTGAGAAAGCTCCTGGGATCGTCAGCGGGCAGCGCGTTCATTCTCTCGTAAGCCAGGTTATACTTGTTCACGTACTCCACATCGTTGGCCAGCTCATGAGCAGGCCTGCGCACGCGCAGATGGTGCACGTGTGGCAATTTGAACCTTTTGGTAGCTCGCCGTGGAGCCGGAAGACAGCATTGCACACTTCTGTCTTTCTCCTCTGCTGTCGCCTCCAACCGCACGGGCTTGCAGAAGCCCACGCTTGAGGCCAGGACCGGATCCGCACAAGCCGGCTGCGCTAGATATTGTACGAGTAGGACGATCGAGCACAGATAAGAAGCCCAGAGGAGCTTTCGACCCGTGGCCGTGATGCGCAAGCTTGCCCTGCTGCTTCCCCAGCTTTCTTGGTCCATCGCACGCTCCCCCACCTTCACGGCTACGTTGAAATTTCAGGTGATTCAGAAACCAGTCGAAAGGATTCCACGACTCATGCAGCCATGGTACGTACCTCACCTGAACATATAATTCGTTGAAATTTCAGGTGATTCAGAAACCAGTCGAAAGGACTCCACGACTCATGCAGCCATGGTACGTACCTCACCTGAACATATAAATCATTCCGAGCTATAAATTCAGGCGCCCTCCACAGAGAAACTTCCACTACGTGGACTTACTTCAAGCAATGGGAAGCATCAACTTTGGCACTACTAGATCACTAAGCAGCTAGAAAACAGTGAGCATGGTGGTGAAGAACGTGCTGGACTTCTATTCGAATTTGCAAACTGCAGGAAGATGTTTGCCTCAAGAAAAGGTTCTCGCAGAAGAAAGAACTTCTGTCGTCGAAGCTGCTTGCAGGGTCTGAACACACAACATGCTCATGTTGGAGTACCTGAAATATGTGCGTAGAACAACAGCTCGCAGCTTTCAAGTACCGGCGGCTGGGGACGAATTATACTCAAACCGAAGACATAGTTCTAGACTCTGTGCTCTCAGATGTACAGAAGAGACTCGTGCAGGTACGAAGACTAAGCTTGCAAACTGCTCCTATGAAAGGGAAGTACGTGAATTCTCGGTATAAGTACTCAATGCGAACCATTAGATACAAAAGGCGATCATCATGGTGGATATGCGTCAGAAATCAAACGCATAAGCCCTTGAATTGTTGTATGTCAACTTCAAATTCGTGTGGCCAACAACCACTATGATGGGACAAATTTCAGAATTCTTGGTTTGCATCACTGGGGAGTTTTCGAGTGCCTCCACCCGGACGATAACAAGTTCACTGAGAAGTCAGTTCAATGAGTTCTCCCTTTCACCAAGGTCATAATATTATTTAAACCGAACAATCCGAGTCGCTACGTATTATTGCAAATGGGAAGTTGGTATGAGAAGAATCGCCCGTCTTATACCAGAAAGGACAGCCTAGTATTATTGCAAATGGGAAGTTGGTATGAGAAGAATCGCCCGTCTTATACCAGAAAGGACAGCCTAGTAGATAGCGGTTGCCTCCGTCGAGGTCATCATTTAGGAGCGTCTTTATCCGATCAAAGCCACCCGTTCCCTGGAGAAGATAAAATGGCATGATTTGCTTAGATATGACGCAAAAGTCTACACCAACATTTCATCTCTGATGAGTGAGGGAAGACATGTAATCTTCTCCTACGCTCTCCTGTTCAGTTAATATGTGTTTTGTGTCTCGTGTTATAAGATTAGACTAGAAAGTATTCATAATGTACTGTCATCAATTTTGATGCGATCCATTTCTTCTAGTGATGCAAACTAGAACTTCTTTTGTGAATTATAAATTTTTCACTATGACATTGATATTGAAAAACAATTAAAACTGTATTCAACAATTCATGCTAAGGTTTGTATTAATGTACACATATATAGAAATACGTGTTTGTTAGAGATCAATATTCCTTCTGATCATGTAAATATATACTAGATTTTGACTTGTGATAGTTTATGGTTTTATTCCATACGAAAAAACCCATGAAAGATTTTTTTGATATTAATTTTTTTATTTATAATGAATTTAAAGATGTATAAATACTATGTTTCAAGTAAGCAATGTAAAAAACTTCATAGCTTTACAATATGTAATTTATGATGTTGAATTCATCAATTTTTCATACATGGATGAACACACAATCTCCCTTAAAATGCTAGATTAAAAAAAAATCTGAAAATGAAGTTTAGAAAAAAACTGCTTGAGGTGAAAAGACGATACGAGATTAAAATTTATGAAAAATTCACACATAAAAAATTATATATTTGTTAGAGTACATTATCATATGTGGTGAAGTCAACTTTATTAAATCTTGATTTGAGATGAATCATGTAAGATATCAGTAGTAGATATTTGACACTACCTGACAGTAATAGTTTGTTATCTGGCAAGCATAAAGTTCATTTAGAGTTTTGTGAACATTTTGTTATGGGCAAGCATCAAAGGCAACTTTTCTTTTAAAGTGGAACTCTCATTTGCAATGAGTTATTTGATTATATACATAATGATGAGAGAGTATCTTCTCAAAAAATCTCACAAGTTTCTAAGATTTTGTACAATATATCTTGTATTGATGATTATTCAAGGTTTAATTAGAGATTTTTTCCACACAGAATTTGAAGTTCTTCACAAGCTTTGAAATTTAAAATTCCAAGTTGAGTCTTAGACTAGACTGAAGTTTGGATATTTACTTAATTATAATGATGGAAATATACTTCTGAGGAGTTTTGAAATTATTGAAAAGAGTAGGGGATTACTTATCATTACATCACAATTTATATTCTGCAACCAAAAGCTATTAGGAGAATCTAATAAAAAAGTTTTGAAGAAGTTGCATATAATGTTGAGGTAATTTCAAATATCATTCAAATTGAAGTGTAATTGACAATTTTTTCTGATTCTAAAGCAATCAATTTCTTGATATCTATTGAATCCAAACACAAACCAATGGCTAATCATAGTTGTTAAAGAGATTTTTTTGTACAGTGTAGTTTTTCATACCTAAGAAAAATATGATCAAATTAATCCATATATCCAATAAGTAAAATGTTGAAAGAATCTCAATGACCATATGAATATGAATTTTGAGTTGAAGTGTAATTGGTAAATTTTTCTGATTTAAATGCACTCAATTTCTTGATATCAATTGAATGGAATGACAACCCGATGTTTAATTATAGTTGTTTAAAAATAAAAATTTTTACAGTTTATCTTTTCATACCTAAAATGATAGAATTAAGTTGATGCTTATATCCAATAGTTGTGATTTTCTTAGATATTTTAGTGGCGTAAAAGTTTCTAGACTTTAGCAATTAATAAATGTAAAGTTTTTGTCAATAAGAATGTTTTTTTATGAGCACATATCATTAAGTAATTGAAGATATCTCAAATTGTTCTTATTTTCGACAAGTACAAATGTCCATTCACAAATATTATTAACAAAAAAATTAATAATTATGTATTGAATGAAGCAATACAAGAAAAAGCTTGACTACATATTGAGCAAAATTTCATGAGTTCATAAAAGCACAAGATTTTTCATGAAATGTGTATGATCCTTGGGTAAATATGAGAAATGTGAATAATTAGATCTTAGATCTCAATATTGTAGTACTTTATGTGGTTAACATCTTAAATTTGCCAAAACTGAATCCGACATAGACATATATGTTTACTAGCTCAACTTTGCATTTAACATGAAGAATTTAGATGAATCCAAGAGAATATTATGAATGCAACTTCATAAGGATTTGGATAAAAAAAATCTATGGTTGAGTCAAGGCAACTATTGTCAAATAATGTAGGATTTCAATTGGATCGGGTTGGAGTCGGGTTGGACCTCCGACCCGAAACCGACCCGCAAAACCAGGTCGGGTTCGGATCGATTTGGGTAGAATCCAAATATACAGCAGGAGATGTACAAGACAAAGTGGAGCAACCACACAAAGCAGGAGCTTTCGGGTAGATACCATTTGGAGCGGGGACTTGAAGATGTCGTTGTGAGATCCATGTTTCTGCTCTTGAGACCTGGAGCCGAACGTTTGAGGACGAGTGCCAATCAAGCATTGGGTTTGTCCACGGAACAGATGCAACTTCTTCAGCTTTGACTGTGTGACAGTATGCAGTTATCGAGAGCTGGGCATTCGCATGAAGACAAGTCGTCGAGAATTTATATGAGAACAAACATCACTTCCTGTTCGTACACATATCCGTCCAAGTGGTCAAAATTCTCTAAAGTTGCTATAATGTGTACCGTCTAGCACAATGGATTCTAGCTCGCTTGCCAACAATTCTCAGAAATATTCCTCTGTCACCATACATTCTGCACGGTGAATATCCATGCTACTTTCTCTTCCTCTGCTGATGGAGATAACATGGTTTGTGAAATTGCTGCTACGAGAAGACTCTACTTTTAGACGTAGCTTTTAATCCTCCAGAAAAATACTTTGAGTCATACCTGATAGTGCTAGTTGACATTGTCAATATGTATTTGAGTACGTCTTGATTTCAACGGACACTTTGTTCAAATTGAAGTTATTGGTGAAAGATAGAGCTCGTATTTGCCTAGTAAACGATTATCAACAAGATCATTGCGATTTGACAACACGATTTTGCCTTGAACTAACCATCGCTGGGTGATCTGTTGGTGAGTCCTCTTCCCTTTGGGAACAGGTGCAATGCAGAAGAGTTTCAGACCGTCGCGGTGAGTCTTACACCCTCTTGTTGTTATGTTGTCGCTGAGAGCTGGCAGAGTACAAATGTTGGAGGTTTCGGAGTAGTAGGATCCGAAAGGAAGAAAAGAAAGAGTGCGGGTCTGATTAGCCTTAGCATCTCAGATCTTCGGCTTATCGCCTGCGAGTGGAGACTCGCTGGAGCGTTACCTCTTCTCGCTTCATGGGTCCATTGGCCGGCAGGCTGGGCTACACACTTGGAAAATTTTCCAAATGCTCGACTACCTGGTTTGTCCTGGCAGTAGTCGAAGGTAAATAGAAGTTCAGGCCCCTAGGGTTTAGGGTTTAGCTGCAGAGTGTGGAAGGGGGCGACTCTCTCTGTACAACGCAAGTGTTCGGCCTTGGGTTCTTCTTCTTCCACACTTCCAACCATTGAAATAGTATGGGTGCTGCTGTGCCACAAAGCACAACCAAAAAAATAAGAAAAAAGAAAACATTCTGTAGTTGGACCAACTACAGAATTTTTTCTATCTTCACCAAGTGCTGAAAAAATTTATTTCCTTTACTTATTCCAGGCGTTGACTTTTAAATATCAATAAGATTCAAAAAACATTGAAAAATAAATTAAAGCAAGATAAAAATAGACTCAATCTTTAAGTAAATTTTTATATGATGAACAAATATTTTTGTAAGATTCAAAATTTAAAATTAAGCCTATTTTTATCTTGCTTTAATTTATTTTTCAACTTATAAATTTCTTTGATATTTATGAACAATTGATACAATCCAAGCAAATCAAATTTGATATCAATATTTCCATAAGTTTATTTTTGTCCTTCAATATCAATAAGATTCAAAAGTCAACGCTTGGGATAAATTAAAGGAAATAAAATTTTTCAATTAACAACTTATTCTAGCAATATATATAGTATCACAAGTTTTAGCTAGACCCATATGTGCAAAGCATTTGGGCTATTTGACGGCAAGTTCTTGTTAACATGAGCTAGAGTAGAGTATTCTTCAGAGTGCCTTCGTCACCACATATTGTAAGGTAAAGGTGGGCTATGAACGACAACATTAAATCAGAACTCTCTACAAAACACTCCCTACACTAACTCTATATATATATATACACAGACATCTTGGCTCAAACTTGGTCATGAGATCTTTACTCCAAAAAGTAATACAAATATGACTACTAAAATCTAAACAGTGAACACTACTAAATCCTTACTTAAATTTGCACTTACATCTGGTAAAAGTTAATAGCTAACCTTTACGACTAAGACAAAGAAACTGACTGAAGGTTAAGAATTACATCACGTTATTTTTTAAGCAATGAGTATCATACAATCATGGTACATTATCCTCAATAGATGTTGCAGTCAGCTTCACTAAGATGCACTTAGGTAACAGCACTTTACTGGAATGAGACAATGCCATCGTAGTGCATGGGGTGACATCACCAGTTTCTTACTCCAGACTTGGCTTATCTCCTGCAAGATAACGGAAGGCTATAGAGGTTGTCATTGATGACAAGCGCACCGTTTCTCTAACTGCAGGTTTATGATGTGATAAACTTCATCCCGCTGGTTTAGCAAACGTAAGTTGAGGTTGATCAAACTTTTGCCATTACAGCTTGTTTCGCAAGTGCCAAGTCCAGCACTTTCTTGAAAAACATACGCGGGTACAATGGAGATTGCTCAGCAAGTGCCTGCAAATGCACGATTATTACAGTTTAGTGCTAATTTTCTCCTCTGAGTTCTGTAACTTCGCAGCTGGATGCCTTCGAAAGTCTTTTGGAGAGACTAAGAAGAGCTGCCTGACGCCTGCTCAAAATAATAAGAACTACAAAGGCTCAGCAATTACAGGATCGCAGAGCACAAATCCGTGAGGTACAAACGCAAGGGCTCTAACAGCTTGTGGAGAAAAGACGCAGCGCATACATTGCATAGTAAGGCATGTTAGAAGTAGATCAAAGGATACATAGGCGATGCATAATTGTCCTGAGTCTATCCAGAGCAAATCACATTGCAAAAGCATAAGATGCATGCGAGGAAAGGAAGCAGGACAGGCAGGCATATTATTTCCTCAAGATAAATGTACTGAGGAAAATGGTTCCAGCTCTGACAATCAGACCTGATGAATAAGAACGGTCGAAGGAGTCATCCCCGGAACTGTATTCGCTTCGATGATTATAACCTGATTAAAAGAACTTGAAGGTTGGTCATTGAAGATGTATCATCTACATTACATCAACGCTCAGATTATGTGCTCCACTTGACAGTTCTACGGACCTTATTTTTATCTCTATATTTCATCTAAAAAAGTACTGATGTCTTTGTTAATTTCGGAGTCAGTTCCTCGCTGTATTTTAGCGGTAGAATTGTAATTGCAGAGGGTAAAGGTTTGACACTAACTTCTACCATTGGACAAAAAAAATATGTTTCACTGTTTCAAGTAGAGTTTTGCAGCCATTAGCCACCTTACGATTATATTTTTGAACTAGGGTCTGATCCTGGAGTCATATTGCCAGTCTTACCTTTGATACTCTCATAGCAGTGCCTCAGGTTCAAGTTCGAGCCAAGAAAACCATATATATCGCTAGAACACAAGTTATAGAACACACCTTGCTAATGATCATATTCTGCGGTGACAGATCACACTTTGAGTGCTGGAATCTTTTTAAAAAGGGGCTGAGGTTATCGCTCTAGCCGATTTTTTTAATGTTCCATTTCACGAGTATTGAGTGCTATGTATGGTATAATCTTAGTATTATTTCTCATAGCCCATCTAAGGGTAAAGGGGGTAAAGGGACTGGTAGGAACCTATGACTAGTCCAGGAGAGTCCAAAATATATTAGTTATTGCTGGTGATACATCTAGGAGATTTACTAACTGCTGCAAGGAAATTCAGAATACAAGGAGATATGTTATGCCACATGGAAATCATGCACGTTGCAACGTCATGTTGGATAATTACTTCTCCAGTATCTGCGTGTAGAAATGCATCAATGCGAGCAACCCCCTCCAGCCCAAGTTTGTTTGCCACAAGCTCTATTCTCCTTCTGCAACCCTTGATAGCTTCCTCGCTGATAGACAAACAAAGAAATTATTACCAGAATGCACCGAAGCCTTGCAAGACTCAGAAATTTCTTAGATTGTTAGTGGAGCATCTGTGCTCTTATGCCCATCAGCGACCAGAACTCGAACATACAAGTACATGCATTCGTCGATGTCCTCAGTGAGCATCAACAGGCCAGCTTAAAAGATACTGTGTATGTATGGACATATACAGGAAACGACATTTTACACTAGCAAACGATGTATGTGTCCTAAGTGTTATATATCAACACCATATATGTGTCCATTTTACACTAGCAAACGATGTATGTGTCCTAAGTGTTATATATCAACACCATATATGTGTACATTTTACACTAGCAAGTTTTCTTTTTGAATGCTCCAGGCACTAGACACACATACGGGGTGAAAACCAATGTGCAATATGTGGAAAAAGTAGAAGACAGCAGAAACCTACGATACATATATGGTGCTGATATATAACACTTAGGTGAAGTTCAAATGATGGAGGAAAAGCGGTCTTCAAGAGTCTCACCTAACCAAGGCTGGCGGAGGAGGAGTCAAATTTATGCCTGTACCACCTGTCAATACGCGGGATATCGTGTCAAATGACAAGGCCTGTATTCAGCTAACAATGCACAATGCTGCTGAGACTGAACAAAGTATGCTGCTTTTGCTGTAACGATGAGTTAAAACGCGAAATCCATATCGCTGAGAAACGTCGCAAGCCTCTCCAACACATGTATCTCTGGAGCCATGGGTGATGATCAGCTGCTTCTCCAAAATATTAAATAAATATTTGTACCTCTCTAACCATATTTATATGGTTAGAGAGGTACAAATTTGTCGTCTTGTTTCTTACTTCCCTTCTAATCCACTTCCAGTTCAACTCACATGAATGCAAAATATTGAGACTGAACAGCAAGAATTACATCCGTTACTAGACGACATTGCTGCAAACGCTTAGGACTATATTTCGCAATTGATAAATAAGGTCACCTCGACATAAAAGCACCGTCTATCGAAATGAGAGGAAAATCATATAACCTTGGAACTTTTCTTCGAGACACAAGATAGATCCGCTCTCCTTAACGGTGATGCTGGGATTGAGAGCATACATTTCACCCTTCCCTCCAACAACTCCAACGGTTACCTCCAACCAGCGACTCTTCCCCTCCCAGGACAAACGACAATCGCTGGTAACTTCTGTCGATGAGTTAGATGCAGATGCGACCATGACAGGATCCGTTTCTACAAAAGCCTCTAGCAGCAGCATCTCAGTTAGAGATTCAGGCATTTCGATGATGCCATGTGCCTAAAGACGTTTCCACACAGATGTTCATAAATCAGATGACACAAAAGCAACTGAATTATGAGAAACTTGCTCTAATGCAGATAATTCACTGGCCGGATGGGATTGATAAAAATTTGAATAGCCCAAACCTCTCTAAGACTTCCTGGTAGCAGCCGAGGTAAACGTTCTACCACTGACTTCAGATAAACCTCCAGGTCCTCTGGACAACTGCGCGGAGCAAACTTTCAGCTTTATGCTTTGAATCATTTCAGCAGTTCATGAAAGAACAAAACTACTGTGAACTGATTCAAGCACGGACAAGGACATCTACAACATTCCATTTTCATTCATATCTTGATCCTATTTCTCCAAGATATACCTCAATCTGGCAACCCCCGTGGAACAACCATCAGCTGCTGGTTTCACGCAGATACTGGTAGATTGCAAATCTTCTAGAAGATTGTCCCACATCTTCCTTGAAGCAAAAGTACCATCTAAGAATGACTTCGCGTCCCCATATTCTGAACCATTCTTCATAAACTCGTGTACGTTGAAAACTATTCTCCTTGCTGTGAACACTCCTGTTTCAAAAAGCTGAAAATGGACATCATCCATTCAATCAATAATATGAAGAACCTATTTACGAACAATACAAGAATGGCAGGGAGAATGGCACATAGTCCCAAGTCAGATGAACTTACAGGAGCAAGAGCCTTTCCTGTAGCTGCCTTATCCATGCAGAGCCTTGATGCCTCCGGTCCAGATCCTACCAATAGACTGAAGCACTGTAAGGCCAGATTGTTGTACTGTTGAAAAAAACGTACACTGTGTAGGAGCTACTGTACCACGACACATTTCAAACGAGAGGAACAAATGTTTGCCATGGAGACCTGATCAAATGTACTTCAAGAAGACCCATTTATTTTTAATCAACTCCTTCGAATCAAGAATAACACTATTGAGCTTCCATAGCGTTCGCTTTATCGTTTCAGCCAATTCAGCAGCGAGGAAGAAGAGTTTAGCAACACGGAGTAAAGATGAAAGAATCCAACAGCAGCAAGCAGGAACAGAAGTTACCAGTGAAAGGCACTCTTGCGTCTTCCAAGAGCTTTTGCAGCGACCCATTTTCTCCTATCCCACCGTGAACTTCATCAAGCAAAGCATTTTTATGAATGTGAGAACAACTCAGCAGAGAATCGTCTGTCATAGAAACTGGAAATGGCAATTTATACGTGATTCCTTATTAGGGCTGCCTCCTACACTAACGCAGTGAAAAAGATTGCAGAAAAGAGTCTTGTGGGTTTTGATTAGCATCCTCACTTCAAGTCACTTACTGCAAATTCAGCGTTTCTTTAAGCTTGATACCATTTGCACATGATCTAGACTAATCGTAATAAGGTTACCGAACTGAGCCGATTACAAAGCATGCCACACATATTGAAGAAGCAGGTGAACAGACTAATCCGCACGTCTACCGTCTACGGAGAAGTAATTTACGGAGAATAAATGAACGTTTTACAATCAGAACGCGAGGATCTGATTCTGAGACTCCAAAATGTAGTCTGAATTTCATCGGAGCGACTCACTTTTCAAATATCTGTACTTTGACCTATCCATATAGCACCTTGCTTTGGTCGACAGATTTCCTGAAGGATAATCACTTACAGTACAGAAAGGACATGCCTCACTATGAAGAAGTCCCTGACAACAAATTAACCTAGAAAAAGATAAATTCATATTTCCTTCTCCGACTTAAATCTGACATCCGGGTCCTTCCGTTCAGAGATTGTCTCAGAAGGTATAGATTGGACTATACAATCAGTTAACTATTCTGATATAGCTTATCGCCATCTCTGATCGAAGGGCTTTATTTGCTGAGACGAGGAAGGTTGCATCTGAGATTGTATCATAGGGACTGGAACTAATGAGAGTAGAACCAACAACGTTTTTGGCGACCATCCATGGCACAGTTTGTGCGCTTGAGGACTTAGAAAGCTACACTGCATTAATATAAAGCTTCTGATAACAGGAATACCTCTAAGATATTTAGGAATGCCGGAAGGACCGAACAGTTATCTTGTGATACGAAGTAGAATACACGTATCTTTCAAGTTAGCTAGATAGACATAACCTCACCTGCAATAAAAACAACTGCATCGTTATCTTTCGCTTCTTGAATCCACTCTTTCAAGGTCAGCTCCCTTGGTTTCTCGTCCTCCATATTGATGCCCTCTCCGGTGGACAATGCGCTTGAGTGCTCCATAAGTTCAGACTGGACTTGTTCTCTTAGGATGGACCCACTAGCAGCTGTATTCGGCTCCAAAAGCTCCATGCAGCCCTCCACAACTTCTTCTACCGTGTGACGTAAAACAAGAGAGTAGCTGCAATAAAACATGTAAGATTTATAGCTTGACGAAGACCCACAAGCGCTTCATCCTATCAAACAGTTCCACTAACACATTTCAACATATGACAATCGAATAGTTTTGTCCACTTGATACCAACAAATGCATCTGAGATGGGAGGAAGCAGCAGGTTTGACTTACGGTAGAGCCCATACAGACTTATTTTCTTGGTCTCCGCCCTTTGGTGAAAGCAACCAGGGACTAACATCAAGCTGCAATAAGAATTTCTTACACGGGATCAGTGAGAATTCTGATTATCTTCTTCGAGAATTGAGGCTCTTTGTTCAGTAAATACTGCACAGTCGAGAAAATCTGTCGGAGCTTCCTGATCTCAAGGGACTTTCAGCTGATTCACTCCAAGGGATGTTCAGCTGAAAATTTGGGTTCTACAGGCTTTGAAATGATGCAAAGGAAACAGAAAAAACAGAAATCAAACCGGGAACCAAACAGACCCTGCACAAATTGAAAGCTAATCACATGATGAAAGAAGAATAATACTTAGGTATCATTGAGAAGACAAGAAAACCATGTCACTATTAGGCAAGGTGTAAAATTCAACCCACTTCCTTGTGCGTCCGCAGGTTGAGCCAAACATTGGTTCCACTAATTAGCGAAACCTGTCGTTCGGAGGAATCTCCTCCAAAGAGGACAAAAACCTTCTTCTTGCCTGACTGAGAATACTCATCACTTCCTGGCTCTTGTATGATTTGATTATTTTCAGCTTTCAAAGGTGGAATTTGTGCGTATCGTGAAGAAGCACAGTCAACAATAGCTCGAAGAATGCCTGCATGAGACAATCCCACCTATATGGATGGTAGAAATATCAGCGGAATTGGACAAATTCAGCTAGTTAGTTGGAGGAAACGTTTTACGACAAGCAGAGCCTTCCAAGTTTGAGACGAATAAGCACATCTGACTGTTTTAACGTACATTCTATCAGCGTTGATCATGCACTTCAGCATAGTATATACTGCACTTCCAGCATTTTCTGCTCATGCAAGCTACGCGTAATTCAAGAGTTGAATTAAGCTGAAAAACTTTAGTTCCTACCTTTGCAGCCTGTTGAAAGAGGAAACTTGTCTGCTCCATTCCACTCATCTACAAAGTTGAAAGAAGGAAACAGTTAAATCCAGCACCACACTGTTAACGGCTTTCGAAGCCTCTCAGTTCCCTGTAGACTTGAAGTCACCCGACAACTCCTGAATTGGTGGACTAACAGATCCAACGTTCTTCGAGTGAAAGGCTGTAAGAGCTAAATAATTTGGATACCTTAATCGAATGTTTAGATACACATAGAACATGACGTTCATCTTTCTCACCAAATTTATGTCAGAGAAAACCACGATCCCACTGTCCATCTGGCCGATGAGCTTGTCACCTTTTCCCACTCCATGTCTATTCATATTAATGTTACAGGAAAATGGTAACAACCATCCATCCACTCGAGCAAAATCACGAAGTCCCAATAGCTGAAAAAGTTTGGCTGCTCCTTGACGGATCTCACCAATCGCTTCCAACGGAAACTGTGGAGGAGTGTGAAAGACAACCTGACAAAAGAGAATATCTGGTTTAATACAATGCGATAGAAGGCTCATTTTGAAGGCAGGAGCACAATTTCCAGATCCTACTCCATTTTACAGCTTTGATTTACACCGAAGCTACTTCACACAAAAAGTCTGTTCTCAGTGTCGAACTTAAGCATACCCTAGAAGGTACTTCTTTTAAAAAAATCAACACCAAGCATGGAATCTTCTCAATACAATCAACCAAAAAAACGAAACTGACGAGAAAATTCAAAAAAAAATGCAGTGATTGTAGGCAGGCTGAGGCAATACTTGACTAGTGGGGAGGTATTTTTTTCGAAAGTCAAAAATCTCGCCATCAGCATCCACATCACCAGGAGCCCTAAGTTTCACCTGTGCAAACGTTCATTGAGTCAACTGTTGACTGTTGTCTAACAATAAATTAGGTCCTCTATCTCGTAGTAAATGAAGCGTAGTCCTGATTACAGAAGGGCTCGGATGCTTTTTCTCTGCATCCTTGCAAGCCCACAATTGCAAAAGGGCCCATCTATGTAGCAATTTCGAATCCGTTGTATCTCAGAGTATTGTCAGTCCTTATTTCCACCTAAGATAAATCTGGGAAAGTCTCGATGAAAACGACTCGGCTTCCAATATCGGAATCTGACTTCCTTTCCCTTTTGCACGAGAGAAAAGCTGCTATAGTATAAGCAATCCACTATCACGGAAACCTCTTTTCCTCCCGGAAATAGAAGGAACCATTTTGGTAGCGATAACCGCCCGAAGTTTCGCGGAACAGCAGCACCAACATCGTGGATACCCAGTCTTAGCAACTTCAACTCGTGATCTTTAGACCTTGCAACTGAACAACATCAGAATTTTACTTGAAACTCTTAGCTTGTGCATGTCTTGGCCTGGAGTTTCAAAACTATTCCTCGGTTTGCTTGAATGATTTAAGTCTCATATCACTACAAGAAGCACTGATGGATCAAAGGAAGCAAGAAGAAAACGCTAGAGATACATTCAGACTACTGTTAATATAATTTAGTTAAAAGAGATAGATGGTCTATCTCATCAAATAAAATACGATTTTTTGCACTATATTTTAAATCACCTCAGTTGGCAGAAGTGTAATAGGTTGAGATGTCGATCCGATTCTACTGTCGAGCACAATGGCGGTGAACTCCTTTCCACCTTCTGCGAACAGTTCCACAACAACTCTTTCGTCTACGCCCTGCCGAACAAACAAACCAATTGGTTTCTTCATTTCTTACGAATCACAAACAAATTTCGTACTCCGCGACCGACCAAAGCATTTTGACGAAGTGTACCTGGAGACTTTTATGCTCAAGCTTCATGTAAGAAGACAATGCAATAAGTACAGGTAGTATGGTTAATTGTCAAAACTTTCTTGGTCTTACCTCTGCAAGAAGTTGCTCAGCTTTCTGGATGGCTTGCTCGACACCAAAAGCTACACTAACTCCCACACTGGACCCAGCACGAGCTGGTTTCACCTGCACAGAGGCAGATGGTAGCATGAAGACTTGGTGAGTCAAAGACTTGTGACGATCATAATGTTCTGAGCAATTAATTCTCTTCTAGAGTAAGTTCTTTCATTGATACAAATCTGAACAAATCATCTGTAGAGTAAGCAGTTTTATTTCCTCACGGAAGCTAGCAATTGGACATACTTAAGCGGTAACAGCTTGACCGGTAAAGAAAGGTACTTTGATCGATAAAAAATTGCTAGTTTTGTGAGATCTTAAATCGGAATCTCTTTCAACACATGACGAGTCGAGAAAACGTTCTAAATCTGGTGTTATGATCTCCACATAACAGATACGAACATAGAGAAAGCTTGAATATCAATTGCATGATCATTCAGAACCATTATTGACGTAAGCTCACCACCACCCGCCCATCTGATCTGTCCAGTCCATTCTTGTCGAACCACTGAACCAAGCTGTTTGCATCCGCAACGCTGTCCTGCAAGCCTCAATTTGGGCTCGGTTTCCAGTCAGAAGGACAGTCGTGGGCAATCCATGTGTCTGAAAGTTGACTTTGAAAACAGAGGAGACCAACAACAAACAGAGTTTATACAACCGCTAAATTGCTCCACTTTGCGAGTTCATCTCAGGTCCAAGCTCACCTAGGTAAGTATTAAAAACGGTTCCTCCCTTTAAGGAGAAATGGCCTTCTGTCCTTTTTCTTCGCGTTTACCTCTATGAGAAATGAAGGCAGTGTTGCAAATCCAAGACGTCCGAGCTCCTCTGCTGCAGCAAACTGCGTTTCCAAACCCAAAAGGTACACGACAGGTCAACAAATCTGGAAAGGAATTGCATTGCAAAAGTGCAATACATTATCCTCTAATGAATGGCTGCCAATTGAAAGATCAATTTTGTTTTGCCATAACATGGAACCCACATGTATCTGTACATGACGATCCAGGAACACCAGACACCACTCAAACCAATTATTTGTACAAGAGTTTACGGAAATCACAAAAATAGGTGCGTGACACGACTGAACTCGTAATAACTACCGTATGTGTTATCTCATTCCGAGAGGAGATAGGAAATGCTAGGGTTCCACTGATAATACTTATTTCTACGATGATTTAGAGACAAGTTGTTAAGCAAAAATCATTCCGACGCTGTCAAGGTCAATGAAGCAAGCGAAACTACAGAAGCAAAAACGGACTTCTTTAAACCTATTTCAGTAGAGGTCTACCTTATCAAAGGCCATTGAAGCAGCAGCTGCACTTGTACCTACAAAAGGAAGACCTGCACTCTCCAGCATTCTCTGTTGCATTTCAGATAAAACTTCAGAATACGTAGAAATTCCTCTTGTACATTTCTCTTGTAGGGCACTCCCATCTTTCCGTTAGACTTTCCCTCAGTGCTTGATTGGGAAAACAACACTTTATCCCAACCCTTGCTGAGAAAATGTCCACCACCACCACCACCTCCTACACTGATGTCTTTGAATACACTTTCTTTACCCATCACAACTAGTCTAACAAGTTCTCCCCACATTTTAGGCCTCCTTTCAAAGCACAACTGTCCCGAAGAGGGTATAGAAAGATATGAGGGGAGGCGGAAAATGAAACTGTCTTTTAGTGGTTATAAGCAACCTGTATTCCTCCATCTTCGCCAAGCTTTCCATGAAGGACGGGGAAAACGATATCCGTGGTGCCGCGCAACTGGTGAAAAAACTCTGTGAGTGAAAGGTAGCTCTTTGTCATCCTGCCCAGAAATCAATTCATTAGTGGCTGAATGTCTCGCTAGAGGTGCACCTTGAACAGTGATCACTATGTCCATCGGCAGAAGTGTTCATGGACTCTCTCAGGATCAATGCACTTCATGAAAGAATGAGAACCGTGATGTTATCAAATAATAAGATGCCGGGAGTAAGATACCTAGAGGGAAGACGACTTTGACAAATATATGTTCAAGTAAAACTTTATACGAAAACAAAAAACGATATATGATGACAAGGTTGATAAATATCTACTAATCATCACTGATATGAGATCTAGAATTCTTAGCTCACCCTTCAATCTTGTAGTCGAAGTCGGATGGAGTGTTTGAATACATCTGTGCATCAACAGTAGGAAGATTTGACCATAAGCTCACAGACTCATAACACTTGGAGGGACATATTTATTGGACCCTAGCTCTTTCAGATATTTCAGATACATACGTAGTGATATGTGGACAACTGATACCAGTAACACAGAATGGAAACAGCTCAAAGCTGTGAGCTGATGAATATCACATACCTGAATGGCTGAAATTTCATAAACTTGCAAGTTAGTGTCCAAATAATAGCAGCTGATCTCAATATCTTCTGCCTGAGAACAAAGCACAGAGATTAATTGCACCTTGGCAATCTATATAAGTCTTTCGAACGACTTGCTGTCATCTGCATTCATGTCTCAGACAAGAACATTCAACAGAACGTTCACGTCCTGTAATGCAGAGTTTGTTTTGTAAAATTTTGACAATGCCGTATTCTCATAAGCGATCCAAATCACTTAGAAACTTGTTCCACCGTGAGATCAATCTAGTCAGAGGGCACAATGCTCTAATGGAACGTCTTTGGAATCTCATTATATGCTCACTTCACCAAGTGTAAATGGTATTCTATCTGGTGGATAAAGGACGGAGAAACTAACTCCCTGTTAATCATCTGCTCCCAATTTTCGAATCTGCGAGCTGGTCTGTGTCATTAATAAACACTCCAACACTGTTCTGTTCTGAGAATACTTGATGCACATTGTTTCAGAAAATGAGTATGTACGACTTTTGTTGGGAATTGTACTCGTGAGGACGAACGGCCGAAGACTCACCTGCAGATGGTCCAGTACAGAGCGAGCCGAATTCAAAGAAATCCCTCTCTCGGCAGAAGGTCCACCACATATGAGAGCCACTCTCAATTTGGAATTTTCGTCTTGAGTTATTCCCCTTGGCGAATCAAGACTCATCCCCTGCAAAGCTCAGGAAATTAGAAATCGTCAGGAAGACCTTCCGATGGAGCTGATCAGGCAGATTTTGTGACTGTGTCACGAGTGTCATGTAGATATTATTGCCTTTTAAAGAAAATCGAGAAGAAGCATTCGAGCGAGTGAGCTGCTCACCCTGCAAACTGGGAGACGCCAGCTTAAAGAGATTTTTGCAACCGGAACTCCGACGGCAAGTCGCTCTGATCTCTTTTGAGTTCTTTGCTTTTCATCCGAAGTGACATTTTGATATAGTCCACCGCCTCTGTTTGTGACTGGTAGAGAAAAACTCTTCGGGATATATTTTGCTTTCACGCATTGCGCACACGAGATTGAGCAGCTCAGACACAATTGAGCCATGCCTGCTTTTAGGCTCATTGCTTCCTGTGCTCAAGTTTAATTTTCTTCGTTTTGATTGCAACGCTCTACAAGCTAATAAACAGCCGCTCCATTCTCCATACGTGAATCAGACAGAGATAACGCATTGCGGTGAAGGATAGAGGAAATTGGCGCCAGTTCGTCGTCCAGAATCAGACGCTAACACGGCGCACGTCTAAATCTGCCGTCAGATGTTCAATGTCAAATGTCATAGTCGAGAACACGACAGGGCGTTCATGGTGGACAGAGCACTACAAACTGGAGAACGAAGGCTCGGGCAGAATCGGATCACGGAGCTGAGTCGACCGTCCGCAAAGCTTGCAAGACCGTCGAGGCCTTTCAGGGCGATGGGAATCTTGTCAAGTCCGCAGAGCCGTTCACCACAGACCGCGGTGAACGTGGGCCCCACTGCGGTCGACTCTACTCTGTCACCGCAGAAATCTACTCCGTCGTTCCGCAAACTCACTTTACAATCTCCGTCGTGAATGTGCTCACTCGATATCCAAACGAGCCACAAAGAATCGAATGCTTAGACGCATTGATAATTGACTCTTTAGTACCTTTTCTTCAATCTATGCATGGTAATATCTGCCACCAACTTCGGCAAACGAAACTCCAAGAGACTCTGTATACCTTCTACGACTTTGTTTTATTGTTCGATAATAGGTTTCTATCACTTATAATCATAGTAGCTAGCCATTTTCAAAACATTGAAATTTTCATATGTGGCACAAAGTGAATGAAAATGCATCGTGAAAATAGAGTTTCCCTTGTCTTTCTTTAACCTTTTGGCTTTTCAGAAGAATCATGCCTCATTATCCATGGCTTTGGACGGAGATACTTTTAATTTGATCTTATTTAACATCATTCATAATGGAAGCTTTGATAATGTAGATCAAATCAATTATGCTTTTTATTAGTTGAACTTAAATAATTTTCTTCAAGCTGAGAATGAACCTGTTAAAGTGTAGAGCTTCATTCTCTATTAACACGAGAAAATAACTTATCTTTTCTAGCTTCCAAAAAAATGGGAAGTTATTAATAGATAGATGCATTTCGATTTTTATAATATTTCAGTGGTTGAAGATTTTATCATATGCTCCGTACAAGTTGCACTTGCAAAAAATGTTTATTTTTAGATTATTAGTAATTAACTTGAGTCTTATGATAATTCAGATCTTCTTGATTCACTTTGTGAAGCTAGTTCAACTGTCAGTGTATTATATAGATCACAAATGCTATTGATGACATATTTTAGGATTTTCTAGTACAATTTAAAATAATTTGTGAATGAAGCTTGTTGAATCAACCTATTCATTCTCGTGTGACGTGTGTGAATGCGTTTGAATAATGAATTCAATTTTCTTGTGGTGAAACAACTTGATCATTGATATCAATGCGTTTGATTATCTTGTGATAAAAACTTTGACAATTGTATTAGTGTTAAATCGGATATGTCTTAAGTCACAAAACTAAACCCTAATTAGAATTTAGGTTTTGCTATTCATTATAAACGAAAGCTAACATTTGATTATTCTTTTTTTAGCATAAAATTTTTTATTTGTTCTTATGGACAACGTCCGGAAGTGATTAACCACATATTTTGTGTTGGCTTATTGATGTATGCGTGTGTTGAATTGTGTTTGTATTATTGTGAAAAATTCATGACAATTTCTATCGGAGCATTGTGTCGTATCCTCATGTTTTTGAATTAAAATTGCTAGTGTTTCGGTGTTTGATTTTATGTCTTGTGGTCATCCTTGCAAAACTGTCGTTGTAAATGATGTGTGCATTGTTGAATAATGTGTGCAATTGTTTAATTGAAATAAATCCAAAAGAATGAAAGCTTGAATGAAAAGATAAATGTTGAGAGAGAGATGCTGATGTTACAATAAGGAAACAAAAAGAGCTAATTCAAAGATGAAACACAACCACAAAGACAAGAGATAAGTAGAATGTTTATACTTTTCCCTTACATAGATTGTATAAACAAGTACATTGATATAAGATTTCATACTCTTCATTCATTTCACTCTTGATAGACTGATAATATTACAGATTATATTAACAAAAGTATGAATTATTGACGTATCGCTATCAACTAACAAATTTAATCTCGATCAACCAAACATACAAATTACTAACATGACTATAAATATTCAATTATAAACTAACTATATCTCCATCTTGAATTATCTCTACTTTAATTAATTAACCAAAGATGTTTATAAAACTTATTTCTTTTAAGATCCAATTTTGTTGTTATACATGTGTTCACATTTTTTGAACTTTTAGTAGTGCATTAGTTAGGATTTTTATCAAATTTCCAAATTGTTTTATATGATCAATTTTCTTTTCATTAAATCAAATATTTTATTTTGAAATATTTATGAACTCCAAATTTTATTTTTTTTGTATCATCTCATATTTCACGACTAGATATCAAGATCGGTAGATGACATGAGATGATGTTGATTAGTTGATTAATGATTTTTTTGATGATGATATATATTTTTGTAATCGTGATACATAAAATACTTAATGTATTTTCATATGTAATAGAAGTTCTAACTTGTTTGATTTCACTTAATATAATATTTTTTTATTACAAATATATAAAAATTCATACTCAACATATTTTTGAATTTATATAAATCCTTGATCTTGAATGTATATTTAATCCTTGCTTATGTCAATGTGAGTTTGAATATTTGTCAAAATATACACATCATTTGTATTGAACATAAATAAGAACATCAAAACTAAAGCTATCATCATTGAACTATATTTATATTTTATGTCTAGCCACACATACTCTTTGAAAATATTGGTGCTTTCATGAAATTTCAAATTTTGCAATCCAATTACATTTTAGTTTGATTGTAATAATTTACACCCCAACTTTTTGCTAGATTTTTTTCCAAATAAAATTTATTATTTCATATAAAAATAAGAATTCAAATATTTATAAAAAATAAAAAACATTCTATTCAATAAATACCTAAAAACATAATAAAATAATAAATAAATTTATGATTTTTTTTTGTTAAAGATGAGAATTTTTTTTAATCAACAATTTTTTCTTGATTGAATATTTAGACATTCATTTGAATTTGAACATATAATTTATTTACAGATATCATTTTATTTCTATATAATATAATCAACCAAATTTTGGATTTTTCAAGTTTTCAATAGATTCAACATCTTTTTATTAATCAAAAATTGCATTTCATGCTTCATAGCAATATTATATTTAGTCTTATTTACAAAGTCTTCAACATCTATATAGAATATATGGTATGCTTTCTCTACTTTAATTACATTGTCATCATTTCAAATAATTAATTAATGTATCTATATTTCATATCTTATAAGAATCTTACTAATACAAATAGAATATGTTTTAATACACAATTTTGATTCATATTAATGTTTAATATAATATTTTGAGTCTGATCAATCATAACTTATTCTTATGATCTTTTTCCGCTTGAAAGCTTTTTTAAAGAAGTATTGAATTTTTCCTTGTGATTATTACCTCAAGAATGATCAATTTTCTTCCTCAATACTATACCTGAATTTAAAACATAATCTTCTTTGTTGATCTAGATTCATTCTTTAATAAATAAATAAAGAATCAATAAATATCTTTATTATGAAAAATTTTACAATTATGTAATTTCATAATCTCTAAAGTTTCACAGTAATTATTAGTGTGAAACTATGCTATTAGTGACTAATAGCATATTCAAATTCATGACACTTTGTAAATATAAGATCTAAATTGAAATCATATTATAGAAAATATAAATATAATACTTTTCTTCTACTATAATCAATTATTCATTTGTGATTCAATTCAAAAAATGTCCAAATATTGATTGTATCAAAAGTAAAAATATCTATCATGAATTTTTTGGCAATAATAGATTTAGTACAACTTTTGAATCATGAACAAACAAAATTATCATCTTTTCTAACGTCATTAACGTTGAACTTCTTGGAAATAACTTTTTGTGATGGAATATAATCCATGTTGAAATAATGTTCAATTATCTAATAAATTATTATGAAAATAAGATATTAATAAAGATGTTTATCTAATTATATGTAGATCGATGTTTCATCATATGATTATTTTGAATCTCAAAGTTTGAACTTAAAAAAATATAAAATCTTCAGACTTCACAAATCTAATTTTATTATTAACTATTAACATGTAACTCTTTCATATCAAACTCTAATCATGAATTTCCAAAATAATAAAGAAATTCATTTACTTTTTGACAAAATTTTTTTAAAATCAAATATAATATTTGAATGATTTACACTCCATTAAATTTATTTCATTGTGTAATATTTTTTAGTTAATCATACAATATAAATCTGTATTAACTGTAAAGTTTCATAAATCTAAAAATATAATTGAAATAAAAATATTTCAAGATTTTATTTTATTTGACTATGCTATAATAATCTGAAATTACTAAACAGTAATATTTATTATTCGCAAAATTTTTTATATTTTAAAAAATCTTATATACTTAAATTTTTAAAAATTAATTTATATTTTTACGTAGATATATATATTTATGTGTTATATGATCAAATTAAACTTTTATGCTAAAATGAAAATTTGAAAATAATTTAAATAAAGTGACTCCACATTTGAAGGAGTAGGATCTTATCGTAACATGATAGAAGTGAGCTTTGTTTCCGAAGGGCGAAGAGATGAAGCGATCGAGAGAGGAAAGGGCTTCGGCCCCGCGAGCGAAGCGAGTAGCAGGGTACAGAGGAGAAACGGCGACATCTGATGCATCCCTGCCAACATCGAACAACAACATCCCTCAACGGCTCCTGACCACGGACGATGCTCCTGCATTTCTGAAGGCGGTGAAAGATGTGTTCAAGGATGAGAAAGATAAGTACGACGAATTTGTGGAGGCGGTGAAAGATTTCAAGGCGCAACGAATTGATACGGCGGGCTTGATGATACGGGTTAAGGATCTTTTCAAGGGCCACCGAGAACTCATTCTCGGGTTCAACACATTTCTGCCGAAGGGTTATGAGATTACAATTGCAGGGGAGGTCCTGCAGCCTAAGCCTCAGAAGCAGCCGAGAAGTGATAAGGCCATCAACTATTTCAACAAGATCAAGACACGCTTTTCAAAGGATAAGCACGTGTACAAAGCGTTTCTGGTGATTTTGTATAAGTACGGAAAAGGCAATAAGTCAATCAGTGAAGTGTATCGAGAGGTCGCGACGCTGTTCATAGAGCAAACAGACCTATGGCAGGAGTTCACGTACTTCATGCCACATTTTTCTGGGCCCACTCACCCGAACATTAGTCGCGCCGTCGAGAATTCGGATTGATTCAAGGCAGCCAGATACACGCGGAGAGGGTAGTTAAGAGGTAAAAGATTGGCTCCTACGATGCAATAATACGTGGGGACTCGGATCTTTCGTTGTAATTTCAACATGGCCTTGGTTAAAGCAGAAACTCATTGAATCGACTTCTATGTGAACTAGTTATCGTCAACATTGAGGGACTCGAAAATCTTCCCAGCGAAGGACACCAAAAGGTCTGAAACTTGTCCCATCACAGTGGTTGTTGGGCACACGAACTTGAAGTTGAGATAATACAATTCAAAGGCTTCCACCGTTGATTTGTGACGCTTATCGACAATGATGATTCTCGATTGTATTTTATTGTTGGCATTGAGTATTTATAACGAGAATTCGCGTACTTCACTTTCATTGGAGCATTGTGGAGAATCAGTCTTGATTTGTACCTGCACGAGGCAAATCACTGTTTGAGTATAATTGGTCCCATTCACTAGTACTTGAAAGTTGCGAGTACCTCTACTCACTTAATTCATGTAATCCATGAGAACCTTGTTTTCTAACACACATACTAGTGACAATGGTCTGTGTCACTAGCCAACCAATTTGCGAGTTCCAAGGGTTAATAATGTAACAATCTATATTCTATCATAGATAAGGTTTAAGACAAATTGAGATTTTTCTATATTCAAATACGTCGATAGTTCAACCAACAACATGAAATAATGAATTCTTTGAAAAAATAATTCTATCCATAATCATCTTAAATTATTAATAATTTTCGATATATATGAAATATATATCTAGATGAAATAATTCTTTTCAACACAATTTAATGATAACCTCAGGTCACGAAAGCCTGAAAAACATAATCTTTCCTTCTCAACACAAGTCCCGCTTCTGGCATTGGTGTTACATTCATACTCATTGTAGATGTCTCCGAAATGCACTTGACAGAGAAATCACACTGATTTTAGACTATGTGGTCGCCAGATTCAATCACAAAGCCCTCATGTAACGTCTGCCGCGAGGCTGCGAGATAATGTTGACACGCAATTTCACGTTGATAGGACAGAGAAGACATGAGATGTTGGTGAAGATTTCGACCAATGACTACACAAATCATGCCTCTTTTGGCTCTTACCGGATGCAGATGTTTCCAAATAATGACCTCGAAGGAGAACCGTGCTATGTACTACGCTGTCGTTTCTGGTGCAAGACAGGGGCGATTTTCCTCATACCACCTTCCCACATGCAATAATACGTGGGGACTCGGATCTTTCGTTGTAATTTCAACATGGCCTTCGTCAAAGCAGAAACTCATTGAATTGACTTCTACGTGAACTAGCTATCGTCAACATTGAAGGACTCGCAAATCTTCTCAGCGAAGTACACCAAAAGGTCTGAAACTTGTCCCATCACAGTGGTTGTTGGGCACACGAACTTGAAGATGAGATAATACAATTCAAAGGCTTCCACCGTTGATTTGTGACGCTTATCGACAATGATGATTCTCTTATGTGTTTTATTGTTGGCATTGAGTATTTATAACGAGAATTCGCGTACTCCCTTTTCATAGGAGCATTGTGCAAGCTTAGTCTTGATTTGTGCCGGCAAGAGGCATTTCACAATCACTGTCTGTACATTCAAGAGCACAGAGGTTGGAACTATGTCTTCTTCTGTTTGAGGATAATAGGTCCCCAGTCACACTTTAAAGCTGCGAGGTGCTCTACGCACTTAATTCAGGTACTCCATCAGCTAATTGTCTGTTCAGACCCTTTACCCTGGCAATTGGGCCAACAGAAGTTCTTTCTTCAGTGAGGAGTTGGACTTTGAGAGAACTCTTTCTTGGAGCGATCATCTTCCTGCAGTTTGCAAGTTCTAGTAGAATTCCAGCACATTTGACACCACCGGCCTGAAGTGGGAAGGAGAGACTGTTTTCTAGCCGCTTCGTGATTTGCTAGTCATTGCCAAAGTTCATGGTTCTCATTGCTTGAAATGAAATAAACTCAAGAAGTAGAAGTGTCTTTGTGGAGGGAGTCTAAATTGATAGCTCGGAATGGATTATATGTTCAGGTGAGTTACGTACCTGTAGCTGTATGGCTGTATGAGTCGCTAATTCCCGTCGACTGGCTTCTCAACCTCTCAATCATCTGCAATTTCAAGTAGCTGTCAAGATGGGGAAGCGTCCGATGCAGAAAGAAAGCTGGGGAAGAAGCAATGCAAGCTTGCGCGTCACGGCCGCGGGTCGAAAGCTCCTCTGGGCTTCCTTCATGTGCTCGATCGTCCTAGTCCTACAGTATCTGGCGCAGCCGGCTAGTGCGGATCCGGTCCTGGCCTCAAGCGTGGGCTTCTGCAAGCCCGTGCGGTTGGAGGCGACAGCAGAGGAGAAAGACAGAAGTGTGCAATGCTGTCTTCCGGCTCCACGGCGAGCTATCAAAAGGTTCAAATTGCCACACGTGCACCATCTGCGCGTGCGCAGGCCTGCTCATGAGCTGGCCAACGATGTGGAGTACGTGAACAAGTATAACCTGGCTTACGAGAGAATGAACGCGCTGCCCGCTGACGATCCCAGGAGCTTTCTCAGACAATGGCACACTCACTGCTCCTTCTGCAAAGAGGCTTACCTTCAGAGAAGGCTGAATAGCTCGACCACCGGATATCCCCTGCAACTGCACTACAGCTGGACCTTCCTGCCATGGCACAGGATGCTGATCTACTTCCACGAGAAGATTCTGGGCAGTCTCATCGACGACCCCGACTTCACTCTCCCGTTCTGGAACTGGGACAACCAGCTGGACGCCACTGCGGGCCAAATTCCTCAAATTTTCCTGCCTTACCAGCAGTCGAATAGATGGCCTCGACAGCACGGACGGCATGGAAAGATCAGGAACACGTTCCTGTACGAGGGCAAGCGCCGCAACCCCAACCACATGCCCCCGAAGATTCTTCCGCTCACCTTCGATGCATCACTCGAGAAGGAGCGGGCAAATTGGACTCACGCCCAGATCAGGCACGCCAACCTGGGCCAGGTTTACGAGATGGTTTACAACAAGGTGAGCGCCAGAGAGTACCTGGGAGGTCCATACGACACCAACTCCAACTTCACGGAGGCTGTCAATGTCACCGTCGGTGAGTCCGGCGGCTCAGAATCGCTGCACAACACTGCTCACGAATGGGTGGGCATGCTCAACAACACCGCCTATCCCGACAACGAGGACATGGGCGTGTTCACGTACGCCGGGCGCGACCCGATCTTCTACTCTCACCACGCCAACGTCGACCGTCTGTGGAATGTCTGGAAAGCTCTTCCGGACAAGATCACTCCCGACGGGCACAGGGTCCGCAAGGACTACGACGATTACGACTTCCTAGAGACGGAGTTCACATTCTACGACGAGAACGCAGACATGGTGATCGTGAAGGTGAAGGATACGCTTGAGAGCAACAAGCTGGGCTACACGTACCAGCCCATGGTCGAAGCAGACAGCCTGTGGATCAACCACAAGCCCAACGGGACCAAGCCCAGCTACAAACGCAGCGACGTGAGGTTCAGCACCAGCAATGCCATCGGAAGGCATCCCACGAGCTTCAAGCTCACACGCCGGGCTCCCACGGCGGCTGATCTCCGAGGCACGCAGGCCCAGAACGTGAATCAGCTGAGCGAAGGCGTGGTGTTTGAGCATGTCCGCGTGCCCGAGCTCATGTATGTGCGCTTCGACGTTTTCCTCGACTCCCCCACGGCTACGGCCGAGACTGACGAGGACGAGTCAGCCTATGTCGGCACCTTCACTCACCTCCCCAGCGGAGTGACGACCGTGACGGATCTGGGCCAGAAGATGGTGCACGTCGAGGACGACGACATGTACCGCACCCTCAACATTCGCTTCAGCACTTCCTTGGCTTTGAAGAGGCTGGGCGTCACAGACTGGAACACCGACATCACCGTGACTGTCGTGCCCAGGTTCAGACCTCATGGCTACGGCTGGAACATCAAGGCCCTCAAATTCGATTGCCTCAGACAAGAATTCACATGATCTCGCAAATCACAGAACTCGCTTGCACGCATGCACTTGCTTGAGACTCTTGTCCTTGTGCTGTGCGTCTGGTGATTGTGATGAGATATCAGCTGGTCTGGACTGTTACCAGGCGCTTCTCAATAAACTAACACCATTCCGGGCCGAAGCATGAACGCTCGACCTGCAGTTCACGTAGCTTCTTAGCCCATCTGCAGGTCCGTTTTCTAGGTAATAATCCAGTGTCTAAGACATCTGGTGAGGTCTGTATGCTCGGCCCAGAAATTTGCGGGCATCATCCAATAAAACATGCCAGCGTCTATCACAACGAGGACTTTCCCTCGCAATACACTGACTGAATGCTATTTCCCATGCTTCATTTTGCCGTGTACGCACAAACCACAGAAGATTGTTCGAAGAACAATTCAGTCAGTTGTCTCATGGGAAATGAAGTAATCATTTGTCTACGTGAATGGTTTAACCACTGCTTCCATTTGCATTATTATATCGCTGCCCAGGACGATCTACACTCTTTAGATTCTTGGACTTTCGAGCATAGTCTGTTGTCTTATTCTTCTTAGAAGCACTAGACGGCGGCAGATTAAGCCTTTCATCACTACAGTATCACCCAATTTAGTAAGCGAACAGACTACTTGCCTTGTCTCATGTGCATTAGGCCTCTCATCACCTTTGACTTCAGTTCAACCACAGCATCTTGATATCTTGATATCTCCAATCGTTTTTCAAACGATCCATTGTGTCGAAGGACATGCCATTCATGCCACTCATCAGTGTCAACCCCACGGCACACTAGAATAATATCAATTATCTCTCTCTCTCTCTCTCTCTCATTATGGAGGCAGTTCACCACCAAATCTGAGGTATCGGTCTCGAAATTCTGTGATATTACTGCTATTCGAGACCGATACCTGAGATTTGGTGGTGAACTGCCTCCATAATGTGGAATCGGAAGACCCTGTAGACAATGACAGATCCCAACCTGCTGGAAAGTACATACTGAGATTTTGAATCTCAAGATGGTAAAGTGGTGGCGAGGAAATGAAAATGCATCCGTTTCTAGAAGATTAAATATGTAGAATCAATGGATGACAAGCTTACAATTCGAGAATGACAGCAGATGTGCCAGGGCATTCGATGACGGAGGAAAATCTCAAGAATGGACTCCATGCACTCCACAGCACTCATCGAAGATGACTGACTCGGGTCGAAAGCCCGTTTACCTGAGGGAACCGGACGGCCGAGCGAAGATAAAGCGAACTCGAGCATCTCCAGGAGCAGGA